GATTTTAAGTACCCATTTTGACTTTTGGTCATTTTTAACAAGGGTTGACTCTAAGCATAATTTGTCTAAAATTCCCTTGGCACCAATTCCAGCATATCACCGCTAACCCGAATTCTGCATAGATTATCACAAATCTTCGCAAATCTGAGAAGACAAGAAAGGGAATGAAGGGGGGAAAAGAATGAAAGAAAAAAGGATTAGGAGTCAATTTGGGGGGAAGAGGAGGGATAGAAAAAAAGGGAATTCTGGTAGAGAAGAAGAAGAATGAGAGAAGAAGAAGAATGAGAGAAGAATAAGAATGGGAGAAGAAGAAGAAGAACAGGGGATCGGGTGGGGGGAGAGAGACAAAAGGATGAGAGGATAGATTAGAAAGAAAAAGAGTGGCCGGTGAGGGATAAAGAGCCGAGAAGAGGATTGTGATTTGTGAGTGAGTAGGAAGGGTATTTTTGGAAGAATGGGTATGAAAACGTATAATGGGAACTTTATTTCCAGACAAAGAAAAACGTAGAATGGGTACTTAAAATCCGGACGGAGGGAGTAATTATTACTCCCTCTGTCCGGGAATAAGCTTCCTACTTTGATTTTTCCTCATTTTTAGTGGAGGCTTGAATAAGGCATGAAATGCCTAAAATACCCTCCCCTTCCTTTCCCAGCCCTGGGGATGGCAATTCAACCCAAACCCGAGCTTAACCGACCCGACCGACCACTAAAATATCCGAACTCGAACCGAGAATAAAATAATCCGAACCCGACCCGAAATTTTTTACCCGAACCCGACATCGGGTCGGGTCAGGTGTGGGTTTATTATTTCACTCGATCGGACCCGAACTCGCACCCGACCCGACTCAAACCCGAATATTTTATAACATAAAAGCCTATCTATGGATATGATGAGCAATCCGTATAATCTCTGACAAAGTGCTACTATATCAAATATGCCTTTTATAATCATTTTTTTTAATTTCTTAATAAAAAATGAGACAAAAAAAATTAGATGTAATCTTTTTAAAATTATTAGGGTACACCGAATTGATTATTAGTTAAAAGTCGAGTTCGGGTTTCTGGTTGGAATGTCGGGTTCGGGTTTTGGCTTAAAAAGTCAGGTTTCGGGTCGGGTTCGGGTTTCGGTTTTTAAAGTCAGGTCGGGTTCGGGTATAATACTATCCGACCCGAACCTGACCCGTTGCCATCCCTACCCAGCCCTGCCACCATCGAGAACCCACCACAACCTCCACGGTAGCCCCTCCCCTCCTAGCCGCTAGCCCAGCCATTGCCGTCAGCTCCACCATTGATCCATTCTCCGACCATCTCCACCATCCCCCTCCACCGTAATCGCTCCACTCTCACCATCACCGACATAGCCCTACCATTAGATCTCAAAGAAATAAAGAATTATGAGAAAGAAATTCGAAAGAGATTAGAAGAAGATTGCAGATCTAGGCTTACCATCGTTGTCGCCACCATTGCTTCCGCCACCATCGCTGCCAAGCTCAGATCTGGAAGAGAGATGAGAGAAATAAGAGGAGATAAAGAAGGGAAAAGATGAAGGGGAAAAGTGAAGAAGAGGAGATGACAAAGGAAGAGAGAGGAGGAGAAAGAAGAAGAAGAAAAAAGAAAAGAAAATTAAGTGGAGGAGAGTAGAGGAGGATGAGATGACGGAGGAAGAGAGGAGGAGAAAGAAAGGAACGAAAAAAGAAGAAAAAGTGGAAGAGAGGAGAGAGAGAGAGACGACAGTAGAAAAAGAAAAGTGGGGGTAATTTACGAAAAAGTGGTGTAAAATAGTAGAATGAGAAGATTATTTTCGGACGAAAAAAAGGTAGAGTAGGAAGTTTATTTCCGGACGGAGTGAGTATTTTTTTAATTCTACACTAATTTTAATATAAAATGAATCTAAAATGAATCCAGACCAACATCGTAACGCAAACGGAAAAGAACAAATGAAAGAATAATATTGTCTAACTCATGAAGCCTCGGGGCTTCAAACCGGGGCTTCAAACTTTCTCTCTCTGCCACGTCAGCTTTAACTTACACCCAAAATTCACTGGAAATGGTTTTGAAGCCCCGGGGCTTCAAACTGGGGCTTCAAACCTTCATTTTTTACATTTTTAAATACACATCTTCTAAATTTAAATTTATAAATTTAAATTAATTTATTATTTTAATTAATCGCAATGACACTATTGCAAAAAAAAATTAAATTTATTATAAAAAAATCTTACATTCATAAAAAAAACATTAAAAAAATTATATTCATTAAGAAAAATTACATAAAAAAACAACAGTACAAAGAAATCACTAATTATTCGAATGACTAAAGATATGCTCGATCAAATCCGCCATTAGTGCATTGTGAATCTCTCGGCTTCGAATTTCTTGGCGGTTGCGTCATTTCTTTTCTTCGGTGATTTCTTCGTACATAGACACCTCCTCGTCCGGGTTGTATTGACAAATCGCAGACCCGTTATCCTCTATGATCATATTATGAAGAATAATACATGCGTACATGATATTCCTCTTTTTTGTCTGAGAATAACATTTCGACGGACGATCTAGAATGTGCCACTTAGCCTTCAAGACCCCAAAGGCTCGTTCAATATCTTTTCTCGCCGCCTCTTGAGCTTTTTGTAGGTTCGGCGTTTAAGACCCATTGGTTCGGAGAGAGATTTGACAATCGTGGAATAATCCGGATATATTCCATCACCCAAATAATATCCACGCTTGTAAAGCGTCCCTCTAAGCTCAAAAGAGGAGTCCGGTGCGGTCTCATAAACCCAATCGTCAAAAACAGGCGATTGATCGAGAATGTTGATGTCGTTGTTCGAGTCCGCGACACCAAAAAAAGCATGCCAAATCCACAAGTCATTCGAAGCAACAGCTTCGAGCATGATGGTAGGCTTGGGATGATCTCCCCGGGAGAATTGACCGTGCCATGCAGTGGGACAATTTTTCCATTCCCAATGCGTGCAATCAATACTCCCAAGCATGCCGACAAAGCCATGTTTAGCAGCATGCCTCGCCTGCAACTGCTGGATGTCGCTCGCTGTAGGCTTGCGTAAATATCTTTTATGATAAATTTGAATAATAGCTTTTGAAAGTTTATAAACACAGGACCTGATGCTCCGAGCAGACATCTTTAAGTATTCGTCAAATATATTAGATGCCGTCCCGTACGTCAACTGACGGAGCGCGGCAGTGCACTTTTGGACGCTACTAAACCCGCGTCGGCCTCTCGCATCAAACCGTTGGTTGAACCAAGGAACCTCGCATTCATAATCGGCGAGTATGCGTAAGAACATAGGACGACTCATCCAAAAACGATTACTAAAATCCTCCGGTGTATAAACACACGGATTATTAAAGTAGTCGTTTAGAAGTAAATCATGGGCGGCCGCTCGATCCCAGTTTAGACGTTGGCGTCGGGTCCGTCGTCGGGAGGAGTCGGCTTCTTCTTGGCCATCTTCCCACCATTGAATACAATTCGTCGCGAAACAACAAAATAATAGTAATAATAATAGTAATAGTAATTATAATAGTATCAATAATTGTAATAATAAAAATAGTAAGAATAAATTTAATAATAATAGTAATTAATAGTAACAATAATAGCAACAATAATAATGTTATTAACATTAAGAGCAATAATAATAGTAATAGTAATAATAATAGCGATAGTAATAATAATTATAATCATAATATCATTAATAATAGTAATAGTAATAATAGTAATAATAATAGTAATAGTAATTACAATAGTATCAATAATTGTAATAATAAAAATAGTAAGAATAAATTTAATAATAATAGTAATTAATAGTAACAATAATAGTTACAATAATAATGTTATTAACATTAAGAGTAATAATAATAGTAATAGTAATAATAATAGCGATAGTAATAATAATTATAATCTTAATATCATTAATAATAGTAATAGTAATAATACTACTAGTGATTATGTTAATAATAATAATAAAAATAATACTCCGTAATATTAATTTTGTTTAGATCTGATCTAATCTATGTTATAATCTGATTGGATCTGATCTGATCTGATTTTAATAAGAATAGGTAATAAGTAGACCTGACAAATCGGTCGGTCAGGTCGGGTTTGGGTTCGGTCACCTTGGGTTCGGGTTACTTTGGGTTCGAATAAGTTCGGATTCGGGTTGATAACTACATGTTCATGACCCAGTGTCATCGGGTTCAGGTTGACCCAACGGGTTATGAGTTTCATTTATTTTTTTGAAATTTTAAGTAATTTTTATTACTTAGTGTCAATATTACGAATAAAAAAAATTAAATATGTAGAAATTTTGAAAAAATATAAGATAATTATGCGACATCATTAAAATTTGTTATGATGGTATAAATCTATATACACAAAAAATGAATAGTAAGCAAAGAAATATAATTATAATCTTATTTTTATAACACTATATTTCATATTAAAATGTATGATTCTGAAAAAATCTTAGATTAGCGGGTCGGTCAGGTTGGATTCGGGATCGGTCAGGTTTGACCCATTTTTAGCGGGTCATTTCGGGTTCGGTCAACGTGAGGTTCGGTCAGCAAAACCTTTGTTCAAAACCCAGTATTTTCGGGTCGGGTCTCGGGTCAAAAACACGTCGGGTCATTTTTTGCCAGGTCTAGTAATAAGCAGAAAAAATAAGTTGAACGCAACGCTGCCTTAAAATCATTTCTATTCCCCGGCCCTTTTGGATTCTTCAATGGGACTATTCATAGGGCCAAACTTTATCTACTTAATTTACTTATTTTCATTTTCAATTTGGTAAAATAATATAGTCATGTCACCTTTGGTTTTGAAGATCTTTTGTTATAGTTTTAAAAAATATAATTATTTTTTTTAATTCTACACTAATTTTAATATAAAATGAATCTAAAATCAATCCAGACCAACATCGTAACGCAAACGGAAAAGAACAAATGAAAGAATAATATTGTCTAACTCTTAGCAACCGATCTACTTTCCACTTTCTAATAAACTAAGAAACGGTTCATTACATCCGAGTTGTAAGAAACGAGTTTGGCTCCGTAAAGTCTACTGACATGCTGAAGGGGGGCCGGGCCGGCCATTTCTCTCATTCCCTCTCTGCGAGCCAAAGCTAAGAAGAGAGGTTTGAGATTTGAGGGTTCCCTAACCCTAGCGCGCTAGCAAGAGTAGACGTTCGAATCGGAGAGACGGGCTTAGTTTCGCACTAGGGCACAACCGAGAAGGCCGGGGAGAAATCGCGAAGACTCCAAGAAGTTCTGTAAGATTAGGCAGGCACAAGACGACGGCAGGGTAAATTCAGCATGTGAGTAGTTCTAACTCTAAGGTGAAACATATGCATGATAATTGTTGATGAAACCGAGAAGTTCATTTTAAATGTCTGATTACCCAAAGGTGTTTGATAATTGCTCTCAGAGGATATTTGGATAAGCTTAATTGATTTGGAGTGCACTTCTATTTGTTTAATTCTGAACCAATTTGTTATTTTGCAATTGGCTATAGTACACAGAACTCAAAATTTGTGAGATTGGCTAAGATTTAGTTGAGTATGAAATCTATGAATTGGCTCACTTGTGGCTTTCCTTCATTGAGTCATGTCAAACTATTTTGTTAGATCAATTTGCTGCTAGAATGGCTGCAAGAAATTTGAGAATGTTTTTCGATAGCTTCATAGTTGTTTTTATTTAAGTGTTGGTGTTGGTGTTGTTGTTATAAAAAATAGTGGGTTTAGGTTGGGCTGGTCTTAATCTAACTTATTCTTGAAGGATAAATAGCGAAGGACTGACAGAGGATTCCTTCGCAGTCTATTTCTTTGGATCATAAACATATTTTTTTTATCTAGTTAACATTTAAAAGTCCATTCTCATTCAATTAAATTTATATATATACATGTCTATATATATATATATATATATATTTTGAAGGGAGAGATTTTTATTAAAACAAAAGGAAAATACAAAAGGAGGGGTGGCCCATCCCACCAAAGGGGCCAAAAGGACAAGAATTACAATAAAAAGATGAACATCTAAAGCCAAAACGCTGAATAAAAAAGCTCCCCAGAAACAAAAGTCCCGTGGGTGGTAATGTCTTCCAATACTTGGCTTCTAGCTTGTGAACAAAAGAATCGGTCCTATGCCAGCAAGATCAAACTATCTTCAAATCACATGCAAGTAATCCAAACCATAGTGGCCCCATCTGTGAGAAAATCACGCAGTACACTAGGAAATCTGGCCCCGTTCTGAAGCTAGGCTCCCTCCTCTCTCCTCTCCAAGCCCAATGTCAAACTAAACACACTGCCTAAATGATAACGCCTCTACTGAAATCAATGCCCATTTGAAAGCATAAACTTGATAACCATGATGAACATGGTAATGAAGAGGAATTGACAAGAACTATTTGTTTTTCTTCTTCTTCTTGATTCCTTTGCCCAAAGGTTGGGTATCCAAGGTGACCTCAATGTTCTTCCATGCTTGTTTTTTCCCTTTGCCCTTGCTTCTGAAAAGAACTGCTTCTTCTTTTAGCAAGGCATGGTCGCCATTATTGTCTTCTTCAATGTGCTCGTCGCTATCGTCTGATTTATCTTTGTCTGAGCTGTGCCTTTCTTCCTCTCCAAAATTTCCTAGGGGCATGTCCATGAGGTTGATGGGCTGTTGATAAGCTGAATTCAAGTCCAAAATGCTTAGGGGGGCAACCTTTTTCATCTCTGAATTTGGCATTGCTTTCAACTCCCTTTCAATTGACATTGCTTTCAACTCCTTCAGAGATTTGCCCTGGTTATCATGGATATCACGTATGCTATCCCTAAAGTTTGGATGGAAAGGAGTTGCAAGAGCATTTAGAGTCACCGTATAGTTGTCCTGATTATTTGTTGAAGAATATTGGCTTACTGAGCTGAGATCATTCCTTGATGCAGTTTGGTCAGTGTGAGAACTAGAAATCGGACAACAATCCCTTAATACCTCCAAGTTCTGAACCTCAAGAGTTGCTCCCCTAGGATCTGTAGAAACAGCAGTATTGTATGAATGCAGCAATCCAATTGTAGGCTTAGATTGGCCTGAGGTATGCTTTGGAAGGAAAACCCTTGTCCTATTTTGAGCAGAAGAGGAAAAGTGCATTGATAATCCAATGCCGACTATAGCTGGTGAACTAGCAGCATATAGTGGTTCCCTTTCAGCAATGGTCATGGCCATATCATCATAACCTGCATGAGTATCTTCTTCTTTCAAAACTGGCAAAGAGTTGGACACATGCTCTCTCTCTAGAGAGTTTGGATAGTTTACCTTGCCGTCATCAGTAGGATTGGCCTCCGCTATGTTGGAAACCTCTACCTCAACAGCAGGAGTTTGAATACCCTCTTCTGTACATTTATTTCCCAAAGCAGGGGCTTCAAATTGTTCAAGAGTAGGGTTACTCTCATGAAAACCAAAAACAGTTGTTTCTACAGTAGATGAAGGACGTTTGCAGCTCTTAAACATGAGACCTGCCTTATGAAGATGAGCAAGGAAAAACCTAAATCCAAATCTACCTATTCCCTCGGGAACAACAATAACAGTATATCCATTAACAAATTCCTCAATAATCTTGACAAAAAAACCCGAAGCATTTGAATCTAAAGTGAAGATAATTGTTCGGTTACCAACATTATAACTTTGAGTCGAAAAGGTGACCGCCGGATTTAGGAGTATGAATTCAAAGCACGAGCATAACCAATTTACCAAGCTAAGATTGATCCAAAAACGGAAGGATTTCCATCGCCGTCTTTCCGAAATCTGAAGAAGGTTGTTAAATGATGAGAATTGGAATTCAAACCTTTTAGATTGAATTTTAAAAGCAGAGACAATGTTCGATTTGGAGAAATTCTGAGTTCTTCCGCTCCGTTCGTCCACCGAGTGACGGTATAAGGATGTGTTTGGCACTGTGCTCCGTATCCAAAGATCTCCATATCCACTGGTATTGCCTCTCTTACCATGGTTATAATATGGTTGCTGAACGGATACCCAATTTGCAGAGACGCCGGATCTGTGCCCTGAGGAGGACTTTCTCACACTAAAACCCTTCATGATTTTTATATATATATATATATATATATATATATATATATATATATATATATATATATATATATATATATATTTCTATATATTATAAATGGCTAGAAGGGTTTGGTATCCCCTAATTTTATGTACTTTTTCCATTAGACAAAATGGTACCTCAAGCCATACTTGATGTACACTACTTTTTTAGTCCCAAAGTGCCCATACGTTGTTATCTTCATATACACTATGGTTCTCATATAAGCATTTGATTGTACTAAGCGTAACTGCTCCAAGACCTTTTTTGCGGATTGCCCTGCAAGATAAGAAGCAGAGCAGCGCTTCTTTGCCTTCTGTTTTAGGAATCTTTACCTTAAAGCGTTTGTCGTGTATCCAAAGCTGATTTCACATGACGCCTTTTCATTTTATAGCCATTCGTCCAGCAACCTTTTCATCCAGCTTTGACTCCAAGTCTCGAACTCCATCCGCCTATCTGGCGAGTTTAATTTGGTTAATTCTGCAATTTCATCCATCATCTATCCATCCGACGTCCCTCCAGCTCCGACCCTCGTCCAATTTCTACTCTGAAGTTTGACTCCGTCGTTTCCTCCTTAAGGTACTATAGCAAATAATGATTAAAAATTCTGCACTTTTGCAGCCACTCTGCAATTTTAACGATTGACAATTCTGAAATTAGAACCTCTTTGGGTTGTGGCTCTGTTCCTCTGTTAGCTACTTCGTTCATTGAATTAAAAGTGTTTGAGTCCATCAGTCGATTAGCAGCAAGCCAGTAAACATCCAAGTCTATATCAAAATGTTGTGTTTTGTTATACAATTCCTAAGGTATATTCTCTTAGTGAATACAAATTTGAGTTGAACTTTTGAGTTAGATTTAACATTTCAGAATAGTAATTTTATTTGTAAGATATAATTCTCAAGTTTTGAGGGTTATCTGATATGCAATCTCCATATTCTTTAGATTTCATATGCAATTATGCAATTGCTGGCAGTAAAAAATAAAAAAAATGATAAGTAAAGCTGAACTTTTAGCATCTTCTTTGTAGTGCATTCATTTTTTATTCGTGTTTAGTGGCTGACTATTGAGTTCATATTGTTTTTTAACTAAGAGTTTAATTCAATCTATCAGTCTTCTTCAAAATATATACACACTTGGTAAGCTGTAATTAAAAAAACGTATAAAACACTAGTATTTTAAGAATATGCATAAATGACCATATTTTGAGAATTTGAATTGTATTATATATGAAAGTAGAAATGAACGCATTATACTTGTATCCGAATAAGCTAATAGAGGTGAGGCCAAACCTACAACCAAATTTTAATACAATATTCGTTTTATGTCTTTTTCGGATAACATTGATGATATTTTCACCTTAACCACAAAGGCAACAAACTAGTAAGTGCCTAAGTACAAGAGTTTGCTACTCATTAAGTTTTTGTTGTAGTGTTGTTGATTTTAGAGAAGTAATAGAGTGTAAAGAAAAGAGAACAACCACTAGTTTCCAACAAAAGGTGGGAATCGTTTTCCTAAACAGACTTTTGTTATTACTGTAAGGTTTTGGGAAATCTGTTCTACCTAAATAGAGTTTTGTTAATGTTACTTACTGTTAGGTAGAAATTTGTTTCCTAATCCTTGTAATGGTTGCTACCTCCTAGAGTTTTTAAAGCTTAGATAGTTTCACATCACACCCTGATTTATGCTTCCAAATCTTTACTTTAACCAATAGAATGCCACTTTAATTTTGTAATGTTTAATCATCATATTAGCTTGTGTTGACAAACCATTATCATATGTATATGTAGTAATAACTTTAAGCAGCTGTGATTTGTTGTTGCTGATTCAAGTTCATTTTTGATGGAGACAACCATAAATAAAAAAAATCGATTATTTTTTAAATTGTACTGATGACTTAGATGTTCCTATTGCTCTATTTAGCCCTTTATTCTTCCTTGTGTGTTTCGATGTGTTTTTACTTAATAAGTTCATCCATTTTAAAATTTTTTACTGCCACACCTCTATGTCTTTAAAGATATATGTGCCACCATTACAGAAACAAGTAGCCAAGGAAGCACAACCCATCGCTTATGTACCACTTCAATGCAGAGTTCACTGTTTATGCATCACTTCAATACCTTGGAGGCAACTTTTATGAATTGGAAATACTCTATATAACATATTCTCAATTTTATTTTTGCCATTATTGTCAAATTCATTTTAATTAAATCTTCTGTAGCTTCGTGTTCTCAACTTCATTTTGCATGATGCATTGAACAAACAAGAATATGCACGACTTCAACTATAATAAATCACATAGAAAATACATTTTAAGAATTTTGAAAAAATCCATTATTGGGCACTTTAATCTGCGCAACATGCGTATAATTGCTAGTATGTGTGTGTGTGTGTATCTATATATATATATATGTATGTATGTATGTATGTATGTATTTATGTATGTGTGTATGTATGTATGTATGTATGTATGTATGTATGTATGTATATACGGAGTAAATAACTTATTTCATTGTTTACTTATTATTGGCCCCTACCCCCACCACACACACACTCACATTTGTTCTCTATCGAGCCTTGTTTTCTATTTTTGATTCAGCTACATTTTATTTTTAAGAAGTTAGCCGTTCTCAATGAGATTTAACGCTGAATTACTTAAGATGTGTTTTTATAACATTTAAATTTGGAAAGAATAATGTTTTATTTGTTAGCTCATAATAAGCCTAAACGGTTTGCGTTGTTGCAAGGGAATGTATTATTCATCAAATTTGAACTAAATTTTGTTGATCTTATATTCTTTTAATTTTTCTAAAAAAATAAAGCCTTAAGACAATCTATTTTACAGGCCAAAGTAGCTTCGCCACTTGAGGATTAGTCAAAAGCTGTTCTGGACTATAAAAGGAGTAAAGGACCATAGATCAAATACATATGCGGGGATTGGTAAAAACTCTCATCCAATTTTTCATCTCCGATTGGCATAAGAGTGCAAAACCATTTATTTTTGTTGCCACATCTCTTCCTTTTTTTAATAGCTGAACCCCTTATACAGTTATACTCCTTTTATTCGTCCACTAGCATTGTTCCCTCCAGAATCTCTCCTTTAGTCTATCATTCAAGCACTTATTCAGATGCAGTCAACATCAATGCCAAAGGTAAGTTACTTAAACTCTTTCTAAAGTTAAATGTTTTGTCATGTTTTAGGTAATTGGCAATATTGTTGAGTTTGTAACTTTTTCACTATTGGGACAGCATGCGCAACTAATCATCATATGGCAATATTTTTTTAGAATGTTTGGTTTCATCTTTTTTACTCTGTTTTTCTTTCTCTTCATCTTCCTACATTTTTTTCCCATTCCCTTTTCCTTAACATCTATTTTTGGTCTAAGTCTAGCATTGTAACACTATCGTTTTGTTGTGTGTTTCTTATACGGAGTATCTTTGTTAAATACAGGGTTCTACGACCATTCCAGAATCATCTGATTTACTTTATCTGGCAAAAGCATCAGTTTTTGTTTTAAAAATATCAGGTCATTTCAAGAAAAAAAAGAAAGCGATTTATGCTTCAGGGTTTTCCATTGGAGTTGATGGAGTCCTGATGACATGCGCTCGTGTTTTGACTAATATCAAATCTTTGAAAATTGAAGTTCGTAGTCTGGATGAAGAAGGGTTTAATAGGACTGCAAAGTTGGTGCTTTTATCAACTGAGTGGGATTTGGCTTTGCTTGAAGTTGACAGAATCAATAGCTCTGCTTCCATGACATTGGCGATGGATGGATCCATATCTGAGGGGGAGGCCCTATTCCACATAGGGCATCCTCATAACTTTATTGGATCATTTTTGACAGGTAGGGCTGCATATTCTTGTGTTGAAAGCGTCATCCTTCCAAGTGATAGTTGTACTTGTGCGAAATATGCTTGTGATCCTTTAGATTCAACCCCTCGTTATCGCATTATGTGCCACATTTGGAATGATGAGGTGTTCGCGCAGTTTCATGGTAAAGAATTTCAGTTTGAAAAGAATTTACACCCTCATGTTCCCATCATAAAGTGTGCGGGATTGAGTTGTGAAGATGGTTGTTTAGGCGGACCAGTATTTAATGATCGAGGTAAAATTGTGGGAATGATGGTTGCTCAAGTGCATGGATATCAAATATCTATCCATGTGACACTTTTGAGGTTCTTTGTACAACGCTATATCGAGCAACAAAATGCTTGTAGTTCTAGTCTCGATGTCAAGAGAAAGGAACCGATGGAGGAGGTTTGACTATTAATTATTCAATGATGAGTTTAATGAATTACTTTGAAGTGTATTCACACTTGTTTATTTCAAATGTGCAGCTTGTTCCAAAGAAGAAGACACTTTGATTTGTATTCAGTGTAAAAGGTAATCATTTAAACTTTGATTTTTAGTATATCATTTTTGGCGCATTGAATATTTTTGTATTTTGTTTGACACAGTAGTTTCTTCTTTGATGTGAGATCAAATTAATATTGTGTATTTATATTGGAGTTCCCTCATGAAAAAGTGATAGTTTAATCTAAAGATTCTTCACTCTTGTTTTCATAGACACAATGCTTAGACCACTTTAAATAAATCTCTCAAGATGCCCGACGAATCCCTTATATCTGCGCAAGGAACAAAAGGGAAGGAAAACTTACTCCCCTTCACAAATCGTTACAAGAAGTAGGGCTAAACTTCTAGCCCAAGGCAGGAGGGTCACACCAATTGGATGGGAAGAGGAACAGGAACTGATCGATCCTCAGGAATCTCATGAACAAGAGTATGACCAGTGGCAAGTTGCTTGGCCAATTGATTTTCTTATCACCTTGGGTTTCCTCCATTGCTATTGGAGAGATTTGGCTGGAATATTTGGGAGTACTCATGCAACGGGATGTTTGTAGATGCTGAATGATGATGGTCTAATAGAGGAGGCCATTTTGCTGACTGGAGGAATGTATCTGTTTTCTCAATGTTTGGAGCTACTGCCTGGCCTTCACTCAGCTCCTTCTGATTACACGCTCTTTGTTTCCTGTTCACTGTGGGTTTTCATTCAATGCTGTAGTTTCCTTTTTCCCATGCTCTTGTTCACTGCAGCAGTTTCTTGAGATTTGAAGCTTTAATTTATGTGGATCTTTACAAGCTGAAGGGACAGAATGCAAGACCATCGGGCCATGCTTCTTCTGTTAGGTTCTCGCTGCATTTAGTTCTGTTTAATGCTTTATGGTGGTTTCTGTTTCTTTGGTTTGCACTTATAATAATTTTAGGTCTGTTTGATGGCTTGCTGTTTTGATTCTTGGTCTCCTGTTGCTATTTTGGGTTTTTGGTCTACTGCTTGAACAGATTTCCTGCCTTACCCTTGGATTTCCTCAGGGGAACTATAAATCACTACTTGAAGGGTTGGATATGCTGGGTCTATCTCTTGTTGCCTTGGGTTTTTAGTCTCTTCTCTATGCTCTGTTTTGCTACCTTACCCTTTGGTTGCGGCTTTTAGACAGGTCTTCTCAAACTGCGCCGGATAACCAAGCAAAAGAATAGTCTTGAAAAACAATGGGAATTCTGGCCAACTTTCAAAGGTCCTACTGGTTACGCATTTGCATGTGGAAGTAACAGAGGAAGGACAGTTTTTTAGGCATCTTTCTGTTAGCTTATTAGATGATAAGAAAGGGGTTGTAGGGTTTTTTTTCTTATTGTCTCGTGGTGTTTTGGAGGGCACGTTTTGTAATGTTTATTTTCTTGCTTGGGCCTTTTTGTTGGGGTAGGCCACCCCCACCTTTGTACTCCTTTTTTTTAATATACTCTCTTTAAAATTAATATATATATATATATATATATATATATATATATATATATATATATATATATATATATATATATATATATATATATATATATATATATATATATATATATATATATATATATATATA